GGAGATGATTAAATATTTTAAAGTAATTAGAACAATGACATATACCCTGTAAATGTTTATTTTTTTAATAACCTCCTTTTGCAGATTGTAGACTTCGTTGAGTGCAAGGTTCATTTCATGGTTATCTTTTTTTGCGGGGGAGTGTTATTTTTTTTCTTTTGAGATGGAGTCGTGCTATTGGCAAGGCTGGAGTGCAGTGGCACAATATTGGCCCACTGTAACCTCTGCCTCCCGGGTTCAAGCGATTCTCCTACCTCAGCCTCCAGAGTAGCTGGGATTACAGGCATGTACCACCACACCTGGCTAATTTTGGTATTTTTAGTAAGGATGGGGTTTCACCATGTTGGCCAGGCTGATCTTGAACTCCTGGCCTCATGTGATCTGCCTGCCTCAGCCTCCCAAAGTGCTGGGATTACAGGCATGAGCCACTGCATCTGGCCCATTTTATGTTTTGACTATATCTCCACCACAACACTGCCCAGTGCTTTCTTCAGTACTTTGTGCAGAGATGTTTACCTCATGTTTAAAATACAAATGCATGTTGCCAAATAGAATTGAAAAGTAGCAATGTCTTACATATTTTCTCTGCTTTTTAACTGAGCCTAGTATTTTTCAAAGTTTACATCCTTATTATATTTACTTTCAAATATAGTACATGAAAGTACTTTATAGATGTTTGATCTTTTGAAGGTGGTGTTGCCACCTTTGATTAAAAAAAGTAATTAGGTGAGCATTTCCTTATAGAGGTAACCATCAAAGCTTGAAAGCACATATTTCCTTTCAACTATTACATTTGTCAATGTGTTACCCCCATCCCCCATCAATCTGCTTCTCTCTCTGACTCTATCTCTTTCTCTCAAATTGTTATGAAAGACGGCTTTTGTGAACTTATTTATGTTAGAGCCAGCGTTAAAAAAAAAAAATCCAGCTTTTTACATGGTGTAATGGACCATGATAGTCAGTGATAAAATTATAGTAGTTGTGTAATGGATCTTATTTGGTATCTAAATAGGCTCTCTGAAAAAGAAAATATGATTCACACATTTTTTTGGAGAATAAACACAAAATTTCTGTATTTTCATATAATCAGTAATACCTATTTGATAATAATTATATGCTCTTCTCTTTTCTTCTTTCATTTGAGGTTCGCTTTTTCTGCCTATCTTATGCAATTTTTTAAAAATCTTGGAAATTAAGTGTTTGGCTCTCAGTATGAGTTATGTTGAAAAGAGTGTTCCTAGTGAGTAGAGCCTGCACAAGCTCTTTCTAGGCAGCTTTCACATCCTAGGGACAATGAATATTAAAGAAGTGGCTTCTCGAGTTGGAGTGGTCAGTCTCCTACCTTCTGGGTCCCAGATGTCCCTGAGTAGATGTGGATATTCAAGGAAATTAAAATGCACAGCCCCTTTGGAAAAGATAGTAAGGATACCTGCCATTGTATTTTACTTGATTGTTTTATTCGTTCATTCATCCATCCATCAGATACTCATTGAGTGCCCACAGTGTGCCAGGCATATAAATAAAAAGATCCTATGATGATGTTCAAAGAATGATGATTTATGCACATGCCTACCATGGGTCATTTAAACTTTAATGCACTTCAGCATTTAAATTGAGTTAAATTCTATTAAGTTTGTCTGTTCTCTCTCTCTCTCACTGTCTGTCTGTCTCTACATCCTCAGATTTGGGAGCTTAGCCTGTCCAGTGAATCAGAATGGGGAGCTGATTATAACAGTGACCCTTCTGGGAAAGAAATACACTGTCTTCTGCTTCCATTTCCCTGGAAGTGGAGGCCACTGACGTCTCTGGTCCTCTCTGCAAAGTGGGGATGATGGTAATCCTGCTTCGTCTGGTTGAGGGAGGATTAAATGAGATTGTGAACAGGGCTCTGGAGATGTGGACTTCACCGAGGCCTGGTCCTGCTCTCTTGGGGGCCCCACACACAGGAGAGGGACGCACATGTTATACACAGGAGAGTTATACCAACACTTAACTCTCCTGTGGGAAGTGTGGCCACAGCACCCTGGAGGGCCATTGGGTTGAATTGGGGAGCTGGAAGGGTTTGGGCCCTTAGAGGAGGCCAGGTGTGGATGAGCTCAGACCCCGATCGCACTGCTGGTGTGGATTCACTGTGGACCTGCACCAGGCCTGGGGTTTGAGGATGAGAGTCACCACAATTTAATGTCCATATGGGACTCTTTGCTTGTCCTTTTAACTATGGCAAAATACCACACGGGGACACTTCTGTCAGTGCACGTGGTGCTGAGAACACTTGGACGGAGGGTAAACTGGGGCAAGTGGTTACTCGACCAGATGTCCCTGGTTTCTTTCAGTGCCTATCCTGACATCTGGTCTCTTTTTTCTGCTTCTGCTTGGTATAATACTTTTACAACTTGAATACACATGGCTTGGTTCAGTGTAGCTGAGGCTGGTGAACCGCTGGGCCCAGGAAAGGCATGGTTTGTAAATGCTATTATGTGAAACCTTACCCATGGCTCCTGTCAAACATTTTAGGCAAAGAAACTCTATGATATGATTTGTAATACATACATGTATTTGTAGAAACACATACGTGTACATATATAATTATAATAATTTTTTCACATGTGAGGAGATTGAGGCAGAGAGAGATTAATTTCTGTAGCTAAGTCTCCATAGCCAGATAGCAGCAGAAATAATTCCCACTCTATCCTTTGGATATTGCTTTAAAAATACGTTAACAGCATCATATTTATTTGATAATTTTGATTATTGAAATTTGATAAGTTGTTAAGTGGTACACTGTTGCCTTCTTTCTTGGAATTTAAAGAAAATAGAGTTTTAAAAGTGGGTTGAAACTTAGAGAAGGAGAGATGTATACATTATGTTGTATAACAAATACTAAAAATTTGTTTTGTTTTGTTTTGTTTTGTTTTTTTGGCGGATAATGGAGGTGAGGAAGTTGCTATTGAAGAGATGGTGTTGAGTAAATTTCTTGACTCCTCTACTGCCTGCCCATGCATTGTTACAGGGCACACAGAGAATGTCAACTTGTCAGCAGCACTCAACACCATGGTAGCAACAACAAAACATATTTACTGAAGATAACCAGTTGATTAAATGTCTTGACCCCCTCCTGTGTATGCACAGGCATTGTCACAGGGCTTACAAAGAGGAAATGATCAGCTTCTGCATTGAGACTCTGTGCTAGTTAGATGAAGAAAGAAGACTGTTCTGGAACAGCAGACTGCTACAAAGATGATAATGACAAAGTCCAAAGGGAATTGGAACACAGTTTGTCAGAGGTGTGGGAAGGGGAGGCTGAGGGAGGGCGGGGGAGGAGTCCAACTGGAAAGACTAGAAGGAAACCATTGGAATAGTTGTGTCCTTCACACCAAATGCATTTTGTGGTCTTACCTTATCATTTGCTTTTGCTGGACCACATGTCTTTTCACCCCCCTCTTTGTACCTTATGATGAGGGGCAAATAACCACAAAGCAGGAAACCTTGTCAAGGAAACAAGTTCTAGACTCTTTCTCGTGGTCATTGCCTACTAAATTCCTTCTTTCATCACTACAGCCATAGCCCCATGATTATCATTTATAAAAAGGGGCCAGAGTCGTTAGGAAAAGGTTATACTTATTGCCAAGAAGGTAGGGATGTAGGTAATACCGCTTAGAAAATTTTACATTAAACAGAATTGAGAATTTAGAAATTTGGGGAAAACTCCAGTATCTAGAGGATTTGTATGTCGGGAAAGGGTGATTCTTCTTCCTTCCCAACTTTGTCCCAGAGAGCCCAGTGTACCAAGTATTACGGTGCATTTTCTGTGTCTGTCTTTCCTAGTTTAGGCTTGTACATGTACAGTGTTCTATTTTCCTGTTTAAATAAATTTCTTCACTTTTACTTGTAATAGGACCCAGTAGGATATTATGTGGTACTTTGTATATAAGTTTCATTGGCCCTACTTTAAAAACAAAAACCTTGTCTACTGTTCTTTAATCTCATCAACTGTCATTAAGGAAGCTTCATCTAAGATTTACTCCTGGTCTGTTTTGCATATTTATCAATTGTTGCCTTTGACCAACAGTGAATTAATTTGGATAATACTTTCACATGATATAAAATTGTTCTGTATTCGTAGAAAATGTTCAATGTTACTACTGAAAATGAATATTTACAGAGTTTTATTTCTTGAGCATTTAGTCTAAAACAACTTTTAATTTTTTTAACACAGTTTTATTAGCGATGTCCCCACATCTTTGGGGCCCCATGCACTTCACCTGCTCCCCTTCAGCTCCTCATTCACATAGCAAATGAGACCAGAAAGAAGGCTCAGTCCTCTCATTCCTCTTGACATAGGCATTGGCTTAGGATAAAAACAGTTTTGTGGATGTTCATACATAAACACTTACGACTTTTCATCTTGTCTGGGACATCATGCCTTTTGACATCCTTCATTACTCTTTATGAGAAAAAAGCAAATAACCACAAAGCAGAGAATTTTAAGAAGCCATAAGGGATTGGGGCTGAATTTAGCACACTTTGATTATGGAGACAAAAATTGCCAAGTTTATGACTAGGGGTGATCAAAGCACTCTCTCTGCATGCATAATTAGATGCTTAGTAAACGTTTTCTCACAGTGAAAATATAGCATGACTATTGCTCTGTGTAAGAACAGTATAAGTTATCTCATTTTGAAATCATTGTTTTATTTCTATCTTATACACTTATATTTTCATCTGATAGTCTTTCTAGCTTTGTCTCATTAGAAGTTGAGGATTGGAGGGTTTAAATGTTTTAAAAGGATTTCTTTTTTAATGTTACTGCTGGGGGCTAATGGAGAGACAAATGGTTAAGTCGGCCTTACAGTTACTGACGGGAGTGTTGACAATGTACACCCATGAAATCCTACCAACACTTTATTGGGATAATTGAGTTATGTGTAACTGGTGGCATTAAGAATCACATAGAAAGAATAAATTCTGACCATCTACTTTTTTCTTTTTGTAATTTTTAGATTTGTAGCCAAACCGTGTGCCATAGCCCTCAACATTCAGGCCAATGGACCACAGATTGCTCCGCCCAATGCCATTCTGGAAAAGGTCTTCACTGCAATTACGAAGGTATGATTGTCCTTTCCTGGGGTATGGATTGTCCCCGGTCACCATTCTCAGCCTGCTGTCGTTCATTTCCTCCCCTTCTGGGTTTGGAGAATCAACTTTTGCCTAACCTCATGCTGGAGAACATGTTGTCAGAAGGAATGTAAGCGTAGTAGAAGTGGAATGAAGATGGGCTTGTCTTAGACCTGGTAGTTTACGCTTAGGTTGATTTTTAGTAGCTTGCCTCAGAAGAGTCTTGATTAAATAACAATTAGTCTAATTCTGTGACTCTTTTAATCACATGTGACCTGAAGCAAGATTTGACTTGAAGCAAGATGAGGGCTGGGAGGGACTTTGTGGAGGTGACTGGGTAGAGCTGAAGAGTGTGATTTATGTGTGCGTGAAAAAAAGGACCTCTTGGCTTGTAGCATTGTCCATAGATTCTAGGAGCTGTGATAAGTAGACAAATGTAAACAAAAACAAGAAGAAGGCATAATTGCAGGATAAAAGATTGTACCATGAATGTATGAAGGAGGGTCAGAAGAGTCTTAAGTGAAGAGATAGGTTCACTGTGGAGAATAAAAGGGAGGAGATACACAGGTGGGAGATGAAGCCCAAACTAGGAGTGGGAAGGAGGGAGCGGAAGAGAAGCGGGGAGAAGAGAGCGTGTCTCCTGCCTCCACCCCCATCCCAAGTTCAGATCTCCTTCAGAACAAAGAGGGAGGAGAATGCCGAAGTCAGAAACCCTCAATTGAAGGCCATAGGAAAATAAAGCAAATTACCGAGTTTTTATATATCTTACCTTATTCTTGTCTGGACGAGAAAAAGGAAAAGATCAGGAGAAATACAGTGTTCTATGAGAAGTATTGTGTGTTCATATATTTAATGGCTCATTTTCTCTCTCTCATTTTTCTGGGAGAATTACCCAGGCTTCCAAGATGTGATTTGATAGAATTAAGCAAATTCTATTTCTTTTCTTGATATTTGTGTTTCTAGCCATTTGTACTAGCTATCTCGTTTTACAACTATTAATTCAGATATCCAAATACTTTCGCCTATTTTATGGTCTTCATTTCTTCCAAAATTCTCTAGAGTTTTTCCCTCTGTCCTTTAAAAAATTTTTTTTTCCTCAAAAAATTAAGAAACTACCAGGTGTTTTTCATATCCCTGCCAGGAAGAAGAGAAGAATGAATGGAATTTTAGGAAAAGCTCTTTTGGTGGTTTTTATGGGGTAATTTCAGATTGCCAAGTTCCTGTCTGAAGGGACACATATCTTATGGTATTTAAAAGAAGAAAATATATTTAAAAAAAAAAAAGCTTGCATTTTCATTTAGTGTATCAAATTACTTGAGTGAAACAACTTTTTCCCTCTTAAAAAAACAGGTGTGTAGGGACATCTCAGGTTCATTTGTGAGTGTGATTATAACATATTTGGAGTCTCTTTGTGAACTACTCTAAGTACATTAAACATATAGTATTCTAAATGAATAATAAAATGAGGGTTTTTTGTTTTTTAAATTTTCCCCAAATTTGATGCCTCTCCTTAAAAATCCTGCAGTGGATGTTTCACTTCCCTTGCCTTATGTTTTTTACAGTTACTGGAGAAATTTCCTCCATAAAGGTAATAAAAAGATTTTGCAGCCAGATTGGATGCTCTAAAGAATACTTGCTTGGCTAGGCACGGTGGCTCACGCTTAGAATCCCAGCACTTTGGGAGACCGAGGAGGGCGAATCATGAGGTCAAGAGATTGAGACCACCCTGGCCAACATGGTGAGACCCCATCTCTACTAAAAATACAAAAATTAGCTGGACATAGTGGCGTGCACCTGTAGTCCCAACTACTCGGGAGGCTGAGGCAGAAGAATGGCTTGAACCCAGGAGGCGGAGGTTGCAGTGAACTGAGATTGTGCCACTGCACTCCAGCCTGGTGATGGATCAAGACTCCGTCTCAAAACAAACATACAAAAAAAAAAAAAAAGAATACTTGCTTCTACTTCATTTGAATGAGCATATCTTTTAGTTTCCAAGGTGATTCCTTTGGAGGTTTTTACATGATTAAAACAGAAGCGTCATGTGTGAAATATAAATGCAGCAAAAGTTGGAACCGTTTTCCCTTGTATTCTTTGTAGTTCTCCGATCTTATTTGTGATATGAAATATAACCAGTCAGTTGACTGGAATAGGAGGGGCACGACTTGGGACAGCTGGAACCAAGTGTGCATTTGTATATGTGTGTGAATGATCATCCAGTATCCTGGCCTCACTACAGTTCAGCTGCCTTTTTGTAGAAGGGCATGATTATAATCCTTCAAGTGTGAGAGATGAACCCTTAAAATTTCTGTATATGACTGGCTACATAGTTTGTGGGGCCCAGTACAGAATGAAAATGTGGGACCCCTTGTTCAGAAAGCATGAAAAAAAGTGCCATTAAGAGTACAAAAATATAAAACTTTTTCCTTCCTCCCTTAGTCTCTCTGTACTTGTCAAGGTATTTTTTTGTTTGTTGTTTTTGGTTTTGAGACAAGGTCTCACTCTGTTCCCAAGGCTGGAGTCTAGTGGCATAATCGTAGCACACTGCAGCCTCAAACTGTGGGCTCAAATGATCCTCTTGCTTCAGCTTCTCAAGTAGCTGGAACTACAGGTGTGGGCCACCACACCTGGCTAATTAAAAAATTTTTTTTGTACAGATAGTGTCTCACTATGTTGCCCAGGCTGGTCTTGAACTCCTGGCTTCAAGCAATCCTCTTGCCTCAGCCTCCCAACGTATTGGGATTATAGCTGTGAGCCACCATACCTGGTCAAAGTGTTTTTTATTTGCTGTGTAATATCGTGTTCCCTAATGGCATGGGGAGACTCTTGGGGAAAGTATAAACCCTCACAGGTACCTGGGGGGTACACCCTGTGACTTAGTGTGCACATGACCCACCAGCTGCCAGGTTTCCCTTTTTTCCAGCCACTGGCTGACACACTGTACCTTGGTTCAGGGGAGCAGAGAAATAGAGTCAGGCCTCTCTCCAGGCCCACTGCCCCAACCCATGGGTGATGAGTGACCTTCAAGTGCATTGCAACCTCTATGCCCAGATCCAGGGGTACACAAGAGGCTTAGCCATAGCGAGTCGCCAACCACATGCACTGGGGTAGCTGCCTCCATCCTCTCTGAAACTCGACCCCCGACTCTCTGTGCTTGCACTCGTCCTTCTACTGGGGGCTGAAGGCAGCAGCAGTCACTAGGAGGTGGGGAGACAGGGAGGCTGGTGGGTGCTACAAGCCAGGGGATGAGGAACTGGGCAACCACACACACATCTGGCGGAAGTGGTGGGACTGTGTATGAGCCAAGAATCCAAGCTTCTGGCACCTGCTCCTTTGCCCCATTGGGCTTCATTTATAAAGCACAAATTCCATGATAGAACTGTTAAGAATTTCAAGATGGTGACTACAGGGTTTCCAACCCCAAATGTGGACCTTTCTGAATGTGTTTTTTCCTGTGTGACAGCACAGGTCACATGCCCTGACTATCTGGTTCTCCTTTGTGAAATTATTAATAGCTGAAAAATTTGAACCCTTATATATTCTCTAGCAGTCTTTCCTTTTGAAGTAACACCTGTCTGCCTGTTGCCTATCTCCCTCTCCTCCCCCATCCCCTATCTAAAATTTTGTAAACATTTTATAGAAACTACTCCTATTGTAAAATAATTAGAAGCCTTGGTGTTTGAGCCAGTCATACCTGGATATTTGTGTTGGAACCTCAGCTCTGCTGTGTCTGTCATTGTGGCCTTAGGTGAGTTTCTTAACCTCCCTAGGCTGCAGATAAGCTCATTTGTAAAAATCTTTGAATAAGCATCTCACAGGCATTCATGAGGGTTAAATAATCTTGTAAATCATTCAGTAAATGATATGGCATCTTTTGTCCCATTGGTTCCCATATTTTGATTTGCATTTAGGATCACCTGAGGGTTAAAATGCAGTGTTGCATCATGTTTCTAGAGATTCTCATCAATAGTATTGGAATGGGACCAGAACATCTACAATTGTGGATTGTCAGACCCATTCAAATGAACAGAATGATTATTTGTTTAGTGAATATTTTTGAGCTCCTGTTTCTTAACTGGTTTTGTTGTTTCTTAACTGGTTATATTCAGAATTTTCTGGATAAATATGCTTTTAACTTTTGGGGATTCTCCTACCATATTATTTGTACATACCTGTGATGCTACCTCACTTTTCTAATCAAATCAGTGCTTAAGCCATGGGGGTGAGAATATATGTCAGGTATAAAGCCAGGTTTTATGATCCAGGGAAATAATAAAATTTGCTTTTGGTATGTTAGACTAAATTTTAAAGTGAAAGGCAGATTTCCTATAATTTGTTTTTCCTAATTCTCAATAACCTATTTCCTTTCATTTTTATTTTATACTTTCCTTCTTCCCCCCCTAGTACTGGTTAAGATTAATGTTTTTAAGATTAACCTAGGTGTTTGTAATATATAAATGTTTATGTGAGTCACCATTATTCATTTCTTTGCCTGTAAATCTTTCAAAAAAACTTATGGAGAATAATAAGGAAAGAACAATAAGAAACCCCCACCCCACATACAGTGTATACACACACACACACACACACACACACAAACACACAGAAAGAAAGAAAAAAATGAAAGAAAATCTCACAGATGTTTTATTTGGCAAATTAGGAGAGGCATATCTCTAGATTTCAAAACATATATAAAGGCTAACTAGATTGGGCAGAAACCAAGTATGAGGAAGTGAAAAGCGTGAAGTGTGTCTAGAGGGCCCTGTGGGGGTGGATTACAGGAAAACCAGCACAAAGGCAGTTCTCAAGAGTTGAGCAGACAAAAGCACCACCCACTATTTGCAACAGTAGGTGCAGGAACAGGTGAGCCAGGCTGGCAGGAGTGGAGGAGGGACACATAAAGCCACCTGAAGGGTATGTTTTCAGGAGGCCATCTCCCTTCTTGGCAGCCAGACTGGAAGAGCATCCTTCCTGCTCCCCATACTGGAAAGCAG